AGTTGAATAAAGTTCGGCTGCGATGGAGAGACAGTGAGATCGGAAGTCAGCAATGAGATATCCGAATTTTATTACAATTATTATATTTGTATAACTATATTTCATAGTTAGGGTGGATTTTATCTAGTTATCTTTAATGTCTTTGATGCAAAAAAAAATGAGGCGATGAAGGTGGAGCTCCACCTGCGGACAGGTGGACTGAGCCGCAGTCAGAACCTTTGCAGAGAGGAGCTCAAAGGCAGGGATGGAGGGAAAACAGTCAGAGACACAGGCCCTTTCACAATCAGAGGCTACACACTCGCCCTACTCCCTACTCACTCAGTTTGTGCGTTCCCGCGGAGGGTTGGCCATATGAAGTCCCATCTGAAACCAATTAGGTACGAGAGTGAGTGGTTTATTAAGCCCTCCACAGCGAGTCAGCATCCAGTGCAGACTTGAGCAGCAGGTACAGCACCAAATAGTGGTTGACATGGAGGATGGGACGTATAAATACATGTTTTGTACACATATTTACTAAGTAAACACCTCATCAACAAATATAATTTCACAAAGACTGTATAAATTATGTTCAGTTCAATTCAAACTTTATTAAAGACACAGAATCCTGTGGAAAAAAGCTGTGAAAATCTTGTGCAAAGCCAAGTGAAAGCCTTACTTTCTGAGCAGTGCTTTTATGTCACAGATCCAGGAGGAGCAGGAGATGCTGGCCCTGCTGCGTCCTCCTCTCCTTGGCTCATTCACAAAGAGCAGGATCAACGTTCCTGCGATGATGCCCAGAACTGGAGACACCTAAAGAGACAAAAACAACCAGTCAGTCGGGYTGACAGAGATCCATCAGGGCTGTGATCWWATGAACAAACTGTGGCAGGGGCAGTTATGGGGGGTTAAAACATGAGCTGCAGGACAAAGAAGTGTGTGTTTACAGTCTGAATACAAGGCCTCTGTCTGCTGACATCCTATACAAGCTAAGAACATTCCCTTTGCTCACTCTGCTGGCACTGTGTGTGTGCATGASTGGGTGTGGGTCTGTGTGCAGACATACAGCAAAATCAGAGCTTTTTGACTCTGGAAGCTGCTTTGTGAACAGATGAAAACCTCACAGATGTTCCTCTGCTTTTATGTTCACTATCATCCATTATTCTGGGTTTGTGAGTCTGTGCCTGTGAGCAAAACACAAGACAAAAGGCAGGATGGTGTGTGAAGAGGGCACTTGTTCAAGTAATCTAAACTGCTAACAAAAGCAAAAAGCCRTTTCAGAGTCAAAGTGAAATTAATTGTGTTATATTTAGATTCTCATTAAAACCCATCTATATTTATAAGCTGCTCCGCAGTAAAACATGTGTGTGTTTGTCTGCGGGTGTGTGTCCTTTGTGTTGTTCATCAAGAGAGAAACTGTGTGTCTGATGTGGCTCACCACACTGGTTCTGTTCTCACAGCTGTGGGGATCAAACTAGCTCTAAGAACTTTAGTTAGTGTGGGCCAGCTCAGCTTAATCCACATCAAATCTTTTATTGATCCAGAACCTTTTATTGATCCAGAACCTTTTATTGATCCAGAATCTTTTATCGATCCCACGCATCATGCTTTTAAATCCTTCTTTTTCACATTTATATCATTCAGTTGGCTCTATATAAAGTAGAACTGCAACACTTTGGTCTGAACTCCTCCTATTTTAACTCCACAAGTCCCTCTTTCACCCGTTTGTGTGTCATATCAGCTCGTTTTAATGATTTTTAACAAACCAACTTCACATCTTGCACCCCTCCAGTTACAGCAGTTCATCAAAGTTTGATGGAGGGGTTTACAACTACACAACTGTGACGAAATGTTTGATTTACAATTTAATTAAAGGATGTCAACAACAGAAGACTGGTCCATCCAGAACCAGAACCAGAGGAGAAGAAGACAAACCATGAGCCAGAGACCAAGACCATGTTTTAAAGTTCTGCAGCAAATTTTGTGATGTTATTGTTACCTCCACCAGCGGGGGAGGTAATGTTCTCGGTCGTGTGTCTGTGGACAACATTACTCAAAAACTTGTGTCATGACATTTTTACCACATGTGCGTACTGGCCCAAGGAACACATCTTTAAATTTTGATGATGTTCCGGATCACGATGCGGATACAGGAATTTTATTTCTTTTAATCCTCTTAGGTCGGCAAAGCTGCGATGCTTTTACAGGGCTTCTGTAAAAAAAACAGCGAGAGCTTCCAGTGTTCATTTGAACTTAAACTTTACAAAAGTAATGTTTTTATATAGTTTTATTTTTCTTTACTTCCAAATAAAACCAGATTTAATGCTGAATAATTTTTGCCATAATGTGCGCATTTTTGGGCATTTGGTGCGCATTTAGAGAACGTTTTGTGACCAGGAAGTGCGTGACTGCACCATGAAACCTATTTTTCCCATTTCGTCAAACACACCACATTTCTGAAACAACCAATCAAAAAAGTTTGTCGTGGGCTTGTAAACAGCTGAGCTGAGATGAAGAACCGAGGAAGAGGAGTGAGGTGCGCCGTGCGGAGGACTTCAGACCCAGAGGTTGTTTGTTTGTTTGTTTGTTTGTTTCTATTGTTTAAATGAGGCCAGATCAAGTTGAGAGCTATTTTTATGAAGAACCATGTCACATCTAGAGCTCCAGAAGGTTTCAAACTGAGAACTCTGGTCTGAGATCATCTGCTGCACACAGTTCTAATCACTTAATATCAATAATAATTTACAACAATAAATGGGTGATTCTTTTTGCGGCAACATTTTGGCTTCAGGACTTTTGAAAGAAAAGAGTCATATTTCAAGTTTTAAATATTTTGTTAAAACACTGACGTTTAACAATAAGAAACAAATAATGGTCGAGCTCAGGCCTGTTTAAATACATACATGCAACATGATGTTACTGTATTTAGTATAAAGCATTGGATACGTGACTTTTCCAAAGGGAACCTTTTAGCATAACTGTCCCTATTGCCTTGACGGAGGTTTGCGCTCTTCGAGTGCTTCTGGTTCAGAATATGTAACAGAGAATTGAGAAAACTGAACGGACTGAAACACATGAGCCAAACAGAATATAAAGATATCTCTGCAGCACTGGGAGAGACTAAACTCAACTTTTCTGCAGAGACTCCAGGTTCAAAACAAACTGTATGTAAGGGCTAAAAAATGGATTGTGTGTGATACATGTGTTCCATTTAAAACAAATCAAATTGCAAAAAGTTTGCGATTTATGTGGATTCTATTTCACAGACATTTACTTTGTCTTTACTTTATAATGCATGATTAATTACATGGATGCTTGTGGTTGCCTGCAACCTCAGACAACAGCAGCTATCTAAATTAGAATAAACTACTAAGAAATTTTAGATTGGAGTTTTGTAAAGCGACAGCTTATTATTTAATTTTCTGTGTTCAAACTAAATGGTAGCATGTCTTATACTCTGTTTCTCCAAACATGGAGTGGATTAAAGAGTAATCTTCAGCAGGTATAATATTTATTTCTTATGACCAGTGGTGGGCACCAGCCCGCTAAAGCACAAATCCTCTAATTGCGGACCTGAATAATTCATTTGCGCTTTAGCAGTCTTACTATTTTTTATAATTCATAAGCAGATTTGCACTTTCTAAAATTAAAATGCAGTACCACTAATAACTAATTATCTACCTGTCATCTTATGTTGAACAGCAGAAGGTATGACTGTCAATGAATCACAACACATGTGATCTATCCAACAGCACCCCTCCCAGATAAACACTCTTATTGTGAAGGTATACATCCTGCTGACTGTTGCTTTGGGTCACGCTTCTGATTTCCCACAATGCTTTGTGTCTGCTTACGTAGCAGGAAGACAACAGCAAAAACAGTAAACGATTGTAATCCATACTAAAATTTTGTATGTATTGATTTATTTTACTTTACAATCTGAACTCATTACAATTGGAGCTCAATACTTGATGTAATTGGTCGAAGCAACGGGGTTAGAGACTCAGAAATGATTTAAAGATGTTTTGCTGATGAAGACTGACATCTAGTGGTCAGCTGGAGCAACTACATGGAAAACTTTAAAATCCAAGCTCTTATTTTGAAGGGAAGATAGTTTCCTCTTTGGCCTCTGTGCTTTCATTTCCCGTCACAAATCAAATCTGTCATGTACCCAGAATGCATCGCTTCATTGTTCCAATAAATAGATTTAAAATTACTTCATTGATGCTTTTTTAATGAAAAATCTACAACAAACAAAAGAAAAAGACAAAGAAGCAGCCGAACTAGCAATCCTCAACAACTTTTTAATTTTTACACCAGGAGCTAAAGGTCTGTTTCAGGAAATCACATCCTCAGCAATCGACGGTTGTAGGAATAATCTGTAAAATGGTTCATACACCACTAGTTGGCAGTGTTGTACAAATAGAACTTGCACTTTAAAATTAGCTTTAGCTAGTTTTTCTATGGCATGAGCGCTGTTGAAGCTGCGAACCTAAATATTTTCATAAGTGCTTTAGAAATTGCGGAGCTAATGTTTGGATTAGCGCTGCCCACCACTGATTACCACTGTTCCATCTAACCCCACTGTGGACAAATCATCTCTTTAAATACAAGCTCAATCAATGGAAGTAGCTTCAATCGAAGTCCCTGGTTTTGCACTCAGGCCCACTTCACAGTTTTACAGTGAGACTCCAGAAGTCTGTGACCTTTGACCTCAGACCCCCTAAGACCCATTAGACACTTCCTGTGGGGATAACTGTCTCCTGCGCTCACCCACTACTTGATTCTTTGGATCTCCTGTTTCTTTCCTCCACTGACGGTTGCAGGAAAGTAGCTGGAACAAACTGGACAAAAACAAGCGGAAGTGGCTTTGTTTGTCTTTCTTTTCATTAAAACAGGATGCTGCCTCACACAAACCTGTTTCATGTCTTGGTATTTGTCTTCCTCTGCATGCCACACGGCTGATTAATTGACGTAGTAATCGTTTTAATGGAATGTCATTGTGACTTTGGAACAAATGACCTTCCCTTCTTACCACTCCTGTTTGTTTTCTTAATCTTTCACAAAGACAGAAAAATGTTTTACCCTGCCTGCCAAACCTTTTATGTGTCAGGACTGTCACCGCATGTTCCAAAAATGTTTAACACCTTCCTTTAAATGACGGCCTGTTTGGAGGAGGAAGGTCAGGATCTGTGTTAAAGATGTTTTTAAAAGCTGACCCTGCAGGTTAACAGTCCCATTAGGTCTTTCATTGGTCTTTTCCATTAGGGTAGACCTTTTAGTCTCAAACACTCAGTGGATTCAAACCAACCCAGTGATTTATGTTCACTGCTACTGCAAAACTATCAATAATGATTTATTTTTTTTTATTTTTACAGCACAGGAAGCCTCATCTGCCCCTGTAGGAAATGTTTTTTTTAGAACTATAGAGAAGGGGGTGTGCAGTGTCTAAGTGGGAGCCTCGTTGAATTATAACAACAGAAACAGTAACATGAAGATAAGGTCGAAACATTAACTGTGTTTCCATTAACGTATTTTGAAGTATCGCACTGGTAAACGATGGAAACGGCAAAACCAAAAAACAGTTTTTACATTTACGTGAGGCGGTTTTTTGGATTTTCTGAAAAAGGGGGAGATGGAAACACATTTGTTGAATAAGTTCTGACATGAACATATACATCACGTTTGATCAGCTGTTCCTGCTGTCAGCGTCTCTCCAGATATTCCCATAATGTGAAGACAACTGCATTTCTGTCCCTATGTCTCTGGACTGTGTGTAACGTGACCAGTTGATATGACAGAATAATTACAAC